TCACTTTCAGAAAACTTTTTCTGGAGCAGAAAAACGAGAATAAATTCATGCTTGTCTTAACAACATACCAGCTACCTTTACTTCTTTGCTTAGATAACCACCTCCATCTTCCCACCAGTAAGATATTAAAAATAAAGGGCAATAAAGATTAAATGTTTGTGTTACACATAAGGACTAATAGTTGCCTCTCAGCACTTTTCCAAACTGTACTCGAGTTTGCAGATTTGAAGAGGGTTACTGCGGAAGCAAAGAAACATGGAGTTACACTAAAAAGTTTGATTGGCACAGACGTTCCTTGAGGCTGGAGCACAGAGGTGGCACCACTGTCCATCTCCTTCTGATGGACCTTTCTAACCTGAGCACTGGTTTTATGGAGTTAGAAGTTCATCCAGTGCATTTGCATATCACACTGAAAATATTCATAATGGGGTAAAATTGAGAGTACTGCCTTCTTCCTATTTCTTTTCCTAGAATTACCCCCTTTGTGCTAATTTTCTCCCTGATCGTTTCCAGTTTCTGAGCCCCTTGCCTCTCAACTGGGTGTCAATTAATCACTAATAACCAAGGTGCCAGTTATTAAAGACTTACATTTTCCCTCCTAAGTTAGTAACACATCAAAAAGAAAAGAGAATCATCTTGGCAAACTAAAACGATTAAGGTACGTAGCTAACATTTTTCCAAAAATATGACATGGACATTGTATCTCTTCTCAGTTGTGCCTCACATATTATTTCCAGTTCCACTTGTTCTTATGAAGTAGTAGAAGCTAAAAACACAAACTGGAAAGTCTCTTTGTTTGAGGAGCCACCTGTCCACTGATGTCTGAGAAACACGGCAGTTAATTCAAACACATCACAAAGCAAAGCCATAGGGAATCTAGAAGAAATGAATAAGGCATCATGATCACCACAAAACTCTGTGTTCTTCTGCGTATTCACTGGCAGCTTATACAAAAGTATAGAGCCAGTCTAAACATTGCATAATTCTCTGTGTCATGTAATCCTCGCTGTATCATTTTATAGGAATTGTCATAATCATAGAAATAATGAATATAATAAAATATTGTAGTTAGTATTTTTAAGTGTACCTCAAAACCACTTTGCAGTTTAACAAAAATAAAGTTAAACAGACAAAAACAATTTACAGTAAGATTTTGAGGAACAGGAATACTTCATGAGGTGTAGAAATCCATCATTTGCCAAAATTAAAACCCATTATTTGCCAATATTAATTTATATTATATTTAAATATAGCCAACTTTAAAAAGTGCAAATAGAACAAAAATCAAGCTAGATATTGAAACAGTGATTCAGTCCAAGTACATTGCTCTAAGCTTTAGATCTCTAAACCTTTGCAAGGTCTCTGAGATACTCTCTCAAGAAGTTCATGTAGAAAAGGATTTACAAATGCTGCAAATGTCTGTTTTCTTTAAGCTACATGGAACTGGACAGATCAAATGTTCTTCCTGAACAGTAATCCCTTTGATAATGAATGACATGAGAACACTTATGGTTACAGAAACATCAGTTTCCCCTCAGGCTGTGAACTCTAAGCAGCAGATAAAGTGGAAAGAGAAGATGGAGATACAGGTGATAGGGCTAGCAGTGATGGTGTGAGGCTTATTCACATTTAGTGTGCTATAGAAATCTAGGAAATATGAAGAGTCAAGGGAGTGGACTGTAAACATAAAGGTGCAGTCTTCAGGTAGACCTACACAGAAATTTAGCTCCAAAAAAGACAATGATTTCATAATTTCATTCCTTGACAGTTAAATGTATAGCTTTCATGTCAAGTTATTGAAAAATAAGTGTAAAATGCAGTCCTTCCAAATAAACACAACCATGTCTTTCATTGCCATTCAATCAAGTTAAAAATGAAACATGATTATTTGGATAGATTTTAGTTCTTTGACAGCTAAATGCATTTATAACATTGTCGATAAAGGAAAAGTTACATATTTCAATTTACTAAAACAAGAGGTAAATCTCCTGCCATCTTTGAAAGTTCAGAACTATAATTTTTCTGTCCTGAACCACTGATGGTTCACACCTATTATGTTAAGTTAAAAATAAAATAATTACTTTTAAAAATTATACAAACATCAAAAACATTTTGAAAAGTAATAGTCTTCTAATGATAATTGCTGCATGTGTATGAATTGCTAAATTATATGTATAGATAAATAATTTTAAAAGTGTGTAGCTACTAGTCCTGTCTTTTCTAGTTTAGCCTCTCTTTGATGGCTATAAAAATATACCAGTATTCTCTACGGATACTTGCCTTCAACTTTTAGTATTTCTCTACCTATTTTACGTATGGATTTCCTTGTGATTATTTTACTTTTTAAACAGAAATTAAATTGTGATACACATATTGTGAGACAACTCTTGCTTTACCTTGAAAGGCTATGTTCATATAATGGAATTAACTATGCAGAACATACCACATTGGTGTTGGGTATTTAACCATAACTCTATGGAGAGGTATTTGGGTAGATTATCTTTTCTTATTATTATAACCAATGCTGCAATTAAAGTTTGTCCATACATTTCATTCCATACTAACATCCGTATGTGCATGCAAAAGCACATGCACATATAAAAACACATTCAGTTTTCTTTAGAAGAAGCTCCCAGACATGGCATTGCAGGTTCAAAACATTTACACATTTCAGATTTTCTATCCACTTACCTTGCAAAAAAAAAAAAAATAACAATTTACAGTGCTACAAAGAGCAGGTGTGAGTGCTTCTGTCATTCACATTTCTCTTTGAACTCCCTGTAGAATTTATTATAGTTCTTGACATATCATGAGCATACCACATTTGCTTGGATAAATGAAAAAAAGTATCAAAGTCCAAATAAGAAGTAGCTTATTTAAGCAGTCATCAAATATCCAAGATTACATAGAGATATATTTATATATGACTTCAGACTCATCAAGCATCCCAAATGCACCTATTATGATATTTATGACATCAAATTTTCTATGGCACAATAAGTTGTGATTGTTTAATTAAATAAAATTTGTGATGTTTGAGCACAGAGAACAGAGCCATGAAGCCCTTTTTGACATTTCGAAAATATATACCTACATTTAAAATTTTTAAGATAAATGTAGCATTTCTATAATGTTTGACACCAAAAATAGAATTATTGTGACTAAATTTTGAATTGTAAGCTTTCTCTTCAAACTAGTGAACTGGCTTCTTTGATTAAAAAAGTGTTCCTTAAAAGCAAGTTTTATTTAGATTTTTAACAGCTGGAGGTCAAAGGATTGTAAATGTTTCAGTTATTATTTTGCAGTAGTAGTAACTTGGACTTTAGGAGAACTAAAATGACTTGCAATTGTAACCAACAGTAACCTTTACTTTATGCATGGAGTATTCTTTTGAATAGAAAATTCTTTTCAATAAACTTTCACTAAGAAAAAGATAAAATTATATGTTAATCTATATTTTAATTACACAGAGGAAGAAAGTCTACTTGTTAGGAAAACTGCTTAAGAATAGAATATACTTTACAGAATAATTGATGGATTCTTAGCAAATAGTATTTGTATTGCTCGAATTTCTTTACAATTATAATGCATTTCAAGATTTTGTTTGACACACGTGAATAGCATCAAATTATTAAATTAAAATTTTGAGTGCAGTAGTCAGTGAAACCAGCACAATGGTGTCAACCCTGTTCATTCATTTGGACTACAAGACAAGACAAGGAAGTTTTCAGAAACTAACAGCCAAGATCACACTGAGCAAGAGAGTAAGCAAGGAAGTGACTTAAATGCAAGTAAATATTGGGGAGGCAGAGGTCATGAAGACTCAAGACAGATAAGTGGTAGAAATGTCATAGATAGATGGGAAAGGAACTAACATGTATTGATTTTTCAAGATATACCAGGCACTGTGGCAATGTGTTTTCAGACAGCTCTCATTTCTCTTAATCCACCCAAAAGCCTCTTCCAGTCATTTATACTGCTATTTATAGAAAAGGAAGCTTGCTTCAGAGGACCTAGGAGGCTTTCCCAAGGGTCACTTCACAGATAAAAGTCAAGGTTAGAGCAACAAAGAGGACGTTCTCTGAACTGCCCCATGCCATACCGCAGGACCGATACCTAAGTCAGAACTGTCTTAAAGCAAAAGAGAACTTGTCCCCAGAGCAACCTTCTGAAACTCTCGCTGGCTGTATGATTAGACAGTAGTAAGTGGTTTTCTAATATGGGCTTTAGTTGAGTGTTTCAGTTTCTCTCAGTAACATTCCAGGACCACATCCATCTATATGATCTGGATTTTATTTAAAATTCAGGAATCCAGAGAAAACCACTGAGTTCTGTTAAAGCAGAGTCTTATAGGGTTAGAAGTCAGAGTTTAATGGCTACAGAGATTTAAACATGGTGGTGTTTTAGAAATCATTATTTAAAGGCTTAAAACTTAGCACTCCATTTATTCAGAAAAACATCTGAATTGAAATTGAGAAGCTATTCAGTTTTCTATTTCTTAACATGATTAAAACTAATCATCAAATGAACAAAATTAAGAAATAAGTAAAAGTAGGAGAAAACAAATACATATTACAACTCAACCTCAAAAATTATCAAATAACAAATGGTAGAATTACTAAATACTAATAGCAGAAGTGTCCATTACACTAAGGAAATTAAAAGGATTAGAATGACAAACTATTCTATCTTAAAGCAAATGAGTTATCAAACCTTAAGAACAAGAAAGGATGGAAGCAGTTAGAAGAGAGTTTTCTAACATACAAGTTCACCTAGTGTTTTTAGACAAATTAGAACACAGGCCATGAATCAAGTTTCATTTTTAATTTGACTACCAATGACTCTTTCTCTCTGAATGAATTTGCAGGATACCATATAGGAAAATAACAAAGGCAAGGGCCAAAATACATTAGATTTAATCAGAAATACTATGTGACAAAAAGGAGGATTATTTCAAGACCAATAAGTTTTAGTACTCACAATGATGTCTATGAAGGTCAAAAGGATATGTTTAATCAGAACATTTCTTTTAATTTAGAAATGCTATTTCATTACTTGGTGTGTGTGTTTTGTCATTTCAAGTAATAAATATGCCCACAATAATTTTCACCTCACCCCCAATTATATTGGTACTTAAAATTTCTCAGGTATAATATTCAAATAAAAAGACAATTGTGACCCATGAATAAATATGTGGATAAACTATACTGTTATTCAAGTGAATGTAGTTAATATTTACCTGGTTTTATATACAAGAGCACTATTTAAATTATTTTTATGACTTATCTAACTACATCACAGTTCTGTATGATATAAGCACTATAAATATATCCACTTTACAAATAAGAAGATCAGGGCCTAGAAAATACAGGAAATTTGCCCAAATTATACAGTCTATAAGTAGTGCAGCCAGGATCTGATGCCAAGAAATTGGCTCTGAGGCTCAAAACTGAACAATTGTACTATACTAACAGCAGCAAAGCACAAATATGAGTATATCTTGTATATACCCAATTTCAAATTATACTACAAAGCCATAGTAACAAAATAGCATAGTACTGGAAAAAAAACAATATATGTATATCAATGCAACAGAGCAGAGGACACAGAGACAAACCTATGCAGATATAGCAATCTGATTATGGGCAAAGGAATCATATGTTTGAGAAGACAATCTTTTTAACAAATGGTGCTGGGGAACCTGGATATCTACTTGTAAAAGACTAAAACTAGTACCCTACTTCTCACTCTGTAGAAAAACTAATTCAAAAGGGATCAAAGACTAGGTATAAGACCTAAAACTCAAAAATTGTTAAAAGAAAATGTAAAGGAAGCACTGCAAGGTATAGGCTTAGGCAAAGAGTTGCTAAATATGA